GGTGGAGAGCAAATGTTTTGAGAATGATGAGGGCAATGAATGAACAAATGCGCTTTACACAATTGATGTATGTGTGGATTGTGATAAGAGTTGTATGAGCCCCTAATAAAACAATTAAAATAACGCAAAAAGAAAAAAACCCAACCAAAAACACAAAAAAATTCCCACTGGAAAAAAAGGGGACATAAGTATTAAAATGCCATTGGGGAAAAAATTTGTTCTTGTCATCTTTTGTAATCTTTTTCATTTTGTAAAATTGGCTGTATTGTTCCCTTTCCTTTTTCATTCCCGATTTTAGTAAGTTGAGTCTTCTTGACTTTTTCTTGTTCAGTGTAGTCAAGGGGTGTCAGTTTTATTCATCCTTTCTAAGAATTCACCGTTGGATTTGTTGGTGGTCTTTTTTGTTTTTCTGTTCTGTGTTCCTTAATTTCTACTGTTCTTCATTATTTCCTGCCGGTTGCTTGCTTTGGTTTTAGTTTGCCACTGTTTTTTTGTTTCTTAACATTCAGGTTAGGTTATAATTTTAATATCATTATATTTTTAATGCAAGTGTTTATAGATTTAAATTCCTCCAAGCACAGCTTTAGTTGCATCTTATGTGCTTTGGTGTGTTGTATTTTTTAATTAAACATAGAATGTTCTTAAATTTTCTTCTGTTACTGGTTTAATTTCATTTTGTTGTAGATGAACAAAAATATGGTTACAACAAAACCATATTTCTTCTTGTTCAAAAACAATTTTATTGCCAAGTAATTCACTTGTCATGGAATTTAATAGTTTTGTCATAATTCCAAGAGTGTACAATCATCATAAACTATATTTCTTGTTATTATGTATCTGTAGTATGTATATAACATCTTTATTTTAAATTATGCAACTAGTATTGAATTAGCTATTTTGACTTTATGCTCTTGAAATTGATGATTAGGTATTTTCTCTATTTTGTTCGTTTGTGGTTGTACGTTACATCAAAACTTTAATGCACCTGATTTTGGATTTTACATTTTGAGTTTTATGAACTCTCATAAAACTGTGTGATACACAATAATGATACCTTGCATTTCATTTCTAATGGAGCTTCACCTGCTGTTTTCCAGGTTGTGTGATAGCTGAGCTTTTTACAGAAGGTGTACCACTATTTGATCTCTCTCAGCTTTTGGCCTATCGAAATGGACATTTTTTCCCTGAACAAGTGCTAAATAAAATAGAAGATCACAGTATCAGAGAATTGGTAAGGATGCTACATATATTTGCCATAAGAGTTTAAAAAAGCATTACGTCCCCATGTAATTTTGCATACGCTCTGTTGTAATGTTATGATTCTGGAAGAACAGTAGTGATGTTCCATAGACTAATACAAATAGCCTGTTGACTTTATTTTGTTGGGGAAAATTTACTCCCCCCGCCCCCTAAATGTAGTCATGTATCACTTAATGACCACAATATATATTTCTATGAAATAGGATGTTACATGATTCAATGTTGTGTGTATTAACACCCTATCATATATTAGCCATGACAGTCCCCAGATGATGGATGTGTTCTATTCCTAAATCCATTGTTAGATGGCATTGGTATCTAAAGTCTGAGCGGTTAGGTATACTTTGTTTCTGATGTCAGTTAGTCAGATGCTTGCCTTAGTATATAGTTTACATTATACTTTTCTATAAGGAGTCCTGGTGGCATTGTTTGTTGGGCTGCTAACTGCAAGACCAGCAGTTAGAAACCACTAGCAGCTCCGTGGGAGGAAGACGGGCTTTCTACTCCTGGAAAGAGTTATGGGTTCGGAAACTCACAGAGACAGTTCAGAATCGCATTGATGGCAGTGAGTACCTTTCTGTACATAAAAGCACTTCTAGGTATACTGAAACATCATTAACATAGTAGTGCAGTGATCATAATTATGTTTTGATGCATGTTGCAAAGTATTACCCATTTGTTATTACGAATTATTGTATGTACCACAAATTTTAAGTATAGTAGCTTTTATGGAGGTTGGGACCACAGACCTATAGGCAGTTTAATTGCCTGAATAAATGTTTTGTGTGCACAGCTATATATTTGTCTTAACTAAAAATGAATATATGTTTATAAATATGCATATATCTTTCCATTATAATCTTTAATTCTACTCTAATTTCTAACTTGACTATCAATTTGGAAGGAGATGTTTAAAGGTTGGAGAGGTTATATAGGATAGAGCCTACTACTGAGACGTGAAGAAATGAAGGAGACAGGACTTCTGAAACAAAGGATATTTGAATAGAATATAGCAGAATAGGCCATTTCTTATTGAAGCAGTATCTGTATACTTCTCTTGACCCTGAGGGAAATTCTCAAAGGAGTGCTATCGAATCACAAATTAGACTTGTAGGATAAAACTCAGTGCCATCAAGTTTAGTCTGACTCTTACCCTCCTTATAAGACAGGGTAGAACTGGCCCTATGAGTTTCTAAGATTGTAACTCTTTACAGAGCAGCCCGTCTTTCTTCCAATCTGGTAGAATGGATGTGAGGGATTCAGGGAGAGGTCAGCCTGAGAGTTAGGCCCTAAGTCATGTTGCCGACATTTTTGTTTGAAGATATCTGTTTTAAAGTCCTTATAGTAACTAATGCTTGCGATCATGATTCTGAGCCATGGAAAGGTTGTTTAGAATATTTTTTAATGATGTAGTTAGAATATTTTAAATAAGATGGAGAAATAGGTAATAAACATTTATTTGTTCAGAGGAAGCCAGTTTAACTTATGTTCAACCAGCAGCGTGTTGGAGGCGGAGTTGGGGATGCTACAGATTTGTAAATGCTGGCTTATAATCTCATGTCTTTTGAGCTTTTTTTTTTGTTTGTTTGGGCTTACATTTTCTCAACTGTGAAAGAAGTAAATTTGACCAATCTTTTAGGTTTCATCTGCATGTAAAAGTAATTCTGTTAGGTCATCTCTTTTTATTTGTAGTGGATTTAACACCCCCAAGTTCATTCCTAAACTCATATTTAGAATATAAGCAAAGTTAAAGTAAGTAGGTGTATTTTTATCATATTTCATAGTGTTTTAAATAATCATAATGAGGGTCCATAGTCTATGAAAGATTATACTAGACTCTGATATATTAAAAAATTATCTCTTTATGATGGTAGAGAAACATGGGATAAATTCAGATTAAAAATCAGGAAAAAGCTCTGTTGCCGTTGACTCGATTCAGAGTCACAGTGGTTCGATAGGATGGGGTAGGTTTTCCAAAGCAGTATCTTTACAGACGCTGCAGCTCCTCCTGTGGAGCAACGAGTGGGTCCAAACAATCAACCTTTCTCTCAGCAGCCAAGCACTTTAACTAGTATGCCACCAGGGCGCCTTTTACTCAGACTTTAGGCATACCTTTTCCAGCAGTTGTAACATTTAGCATCTTATATACTACTTGGAAAGCTTTAAACCACCAGTGTCCCTTTTGATTATACCTAGAATTCAGCAGTTCAAAACCATCAGCCACTCCTTAGGAGAGAGAGGACGGATCTTGAGTTGGTATGGACTTGACGGTAGTGTGTTTGGAGCCACCCATGGCCATAGGTTCTAGACTAGGAGTTCTTAGCTTGGGCCATAGAGATGAATTTCGGGGGTTCTATGAATCTTCCAGAGGGGTCCTGGTGGTGCTGTGGGTTTGCATTGCCCTGCTGACCATCAGGCTCCAGCTGCTGTGGGAGAGAGAGGAGGCTTCCTGCACCGGTGAAGACTGAGTTGTGGAAATGCTGTGTAGGAGCACTTCTATGAGTAAGAAGTGATGTGATGGAAGTGTTTATTTTTCATTTTGGGTGGAGGGGAGGTCTTCTAAGAATTGTAATTCCGTATGTGAAAATTATCTGTATGATTTTTTTCATCCCCAGAGAAGATCCATTGCTTTTTTCATATTATCAGTGGTGTATCATAAAAAAAACATAAATAAATAAAATACAAATCTTGGAGTTGTGGAGGGAATGTTGAAAAGAGTGTAATCTTTCCTGGATGTCTGGGGCATTGTACATTAATATGACATTTCCTGTTGATTACTAGGTTGACATTGGGGTCATATTTTATTTGCGTAGATACTGATGGAGATATACCAGCTGAAGATTAAAAATAATCAGAATTATCTCAGAAATTCTTTAAATCGTGTGTAACCTGCTTGGGTTGCTTTTATCTGGTTCAATGTGCTGTTGTCCAATTTTATCTTTTACTCCCTTTTTCCCCTTGGTGCAGGTAACTCAGATGATTCACCGAGAGCCAGAGAAACGATTAGAGGCAGAAGAATACTTAAAGCAACAGCGTGGCAATGCCTTTCCTGAAATATTCTACACTTTCCTTCAGCCCTACATGGCCCAGTTTGCCAAGGAAACCTTCCTGTCTGCAGATGAGCGCATTCTGGTTATTCGGAAGGATTTGGGCAACATTATTCACAATCTCTGTGGACGTGAACCACCAGAAAAAGGAGAGGGCGAGCCTAAGGAAAATGGACTGGTTATTTTGGTGTCCGTTATAACGTCTTGCCTGCAGACCCTTAAGTACTGTGATTCCAAACTTGCTGCTTTGGAACTTATTCTCCATTTAGCCCCCAGATTAAGTGTAGAAATCCTTTTGGATCGTATTACTCCGTATCTCTTGCATTTCAGCAATGACTCTGTTCCCAGAGTGAGGGCCGAAGCCTTGAGGACATTGACCAAAGTTCTTGCTCTTGTCAAAGAGGTTCCTCGCAACGATATCAATATCTATCCGGAGTATATTCTGCCAGGCATTGCCCATTTAGCCCAAGATGATGCGACTATTGTTAGACTAGCCTATGCTGGTAAGAGCTCAGTGTCCATGGAACAGCTACGCACTCATTTTACAGTCAGCGACTAAAATTCTTTCTCAGATTTCTTTGGGCCTGTTTAAACGGTTGGATACATGTAAGCAGCTAATTTGTTTCTGGGACTCAACTTTTATAGGTGTCCTCATTTTTGAAGTGATCCAGAATTTTTAAGTGAAAAAAGTATATGCTACAGATTTTTTTTACATTGTTAGAAGTGTTCCATTTAATTTGGAAAAACACTAATGTTTCTAAGTGTGTGACTTTGGTCTGATGGCTTTAGGAGGTTAGAATGTTTCTTTGAACAGGTATGCTTGTTTGGCTATTAAGTTTAGGGTGGAACCATCTGTTGCTGTTTGAAAAGATGGATTTTGCTGGGTGATTTGGTGCTGAGAGAATTTAGCATACCAATTTATTGAATATTCAGATTCTTCCTCCAGTTACTACAGTGCTAAGATTTGTGGCCTCTTTGTGATGAAGTGGATATGCTACATAACATGCCAGTTTGACCTAAAATTCTCACTTGGAATCATGTGACAACAGATTCATATTGCTGGCTCCCTAAATCAATTTGGATATGCTTATTCTGCATGGTCAGTCTCATTGAAATGCACACTGAATCTTATAATTTATGATAGAAACCAAGGATTCTCTTTGGAAGTCTTTACGATAGTACACAATAGTGGCCACATTAACAATACTGTCCCCATTCCTCATGAAAGGTACAGTACTTGTTAACCTAGTTCATTTTATGATTTGGCTGCCCTGTCCTTATTTGCAATATTGCAGATGAAAAATGCTCTTTGGACTCGGACGTTAGCTCTGTGCATAGCCACACAATAAGAGGTCGTTGCTGAGTGTTTTAAACATATATGTATCTTATTTATCTGTCCATTTACTTATAGTTTCTGGTTTGAGTAGCTGTATAAGTAAAAACTTCAGGTGTACAAGAGTCAGGATCTCCTTAAGATATAGAATGCTAGTTATATAGAACATTGCATAGTTATAGTTCACCTGGCAAATAAAACTAGCCGAAGCAAGTCAAATCAAGTAAAACTTTAGACAGTTTTCTCTTTTTAAAGAAACCATTTTTCTTTATTAGAGTTTCAGAATTCTTTCTGGCTCCCTGGACCTTAGTCTGTTCTGGTGCCACCGTACTGTAGTGAGAGTCAGTTACTAATAATCAACATATTGAACTGATGGAAAACTTGCATTCAGGGGGTCTGTTTATTAAGGTTGTTGCAGGGACTTTTTGCAACTAATGTCTTTCAATTCTCCTTTCATTTTGAATGCCTCTCGTATTACCCTCACGTTATAGGTGAGGAAGTTGGGGCCTGGCCGGCTAAGAAATTGCCTGACGAGACAGGTCTGATTCTGCCTCAGGTCTCAGGGATGCTGGCATAGACTTTAATTTTAAAGCAACCTTACTTCTCTTCGGTCTTTTGGGACTTTGTTGCGAGGGAATCCACAATAACCTAAGGCCAGTTCTAATACTTTCCAGTGTCCGTCCACTCTACCCGAGAGCGTGATAAAATAGCCTTTTAAAATCTAGCTAGAAGTCTCTTTGTCTTATGTTTGGGTAAACATAATTAAATCACATGTGTCAGTAACTAAAAAAATATTGAAATAATTATTTCCCCACTCTGCACCCTTTTGTTTTTATCTGAAAGATGCTAGCATACGATAGTCTTAAGGTTGTATCTTCTGTAAAATGAGTTTGCAAGGGTGCATTGGTTTATAGGCATCATTGGGGAAATAAGCATATAGTCAGATTTTAGAGGTACCCAGGAAATATAAGAGACTCATCCTACTGAAGAGAGGTTCATTAGGGTAAACTGTGGTTTTGGGGGTGGTTCAGAATTCTCCCAGTGGTTGAGCAACCACTGTAGGGTATTATGTCTTGGTTATTTAGAGGTGAGATTTTGTTCTACTAAGAACATTGCTGAGTCTGGCAGGGTGGGGGAGTGGGACCCCAAGGTGAAAGGAACCACTTTATTTGGTAAAATTGACTCTTGTGAGATACAGCTTGACTTCTGAGCTTTCTTCTTCTTTTTAAAATATATATGTATACCGTATATACTCGAGTATAAGCCGACCCGAATATCAGCCAAGGCACCTAATTTTACCACAAAAACTGCATAAAAAAATGTGCTGAAAAACTCGGCTTATACTTGAGTATAGACGGTACTTTGCAGAGCTGAGGAAAGTCAGACAGGTGCCTCAGTCATAGGTTATCAGAAAGGGAAATGACGAGTGCTCAAATGTGGCACTCAGTCTCACACACCTGTTACCTGTTGTAAGACTGACTAACTTCAGGTGATTCTGTTTGTTGCTGGGTTTTTGAGGTCGATGTGAACTCTCGTATGTATAAGACTCCGGTTGGCCAAGCAGCCTGCTAGAAAGTAGCAGGGCCTGTGGTTCTGGAGGCCGGCTTGATCTAGTACTTCAGTGTGAGCGTCTGTTCACCCGCAAAGAGCTGGTCTGGTATGTACTGTAGGCGTGCTAGGGGATTCGCACCTTGTTCATCAGCTAGGTCTCTACACAGTGATAAGAACCCCTCCTCCAATAAAGCTGGAACTAGATTTGGGGTCATTTACATGTTTCTCTTTAGAAAAAAGCTTATGGTTTATTACTAAGCCTGACAGTTTGGGGATAGTTGCCTATTAGGAGATTAGTCACTAAAAATCTGGTCAGGTGCTGAATTGAAAAGTCCTGTTTCCCCTTCGTTTTGTGATTACTGTTTTCTATGTATAAGGACTTAGAGAGGAAACATTGCAAAAAAATCTTAACGAGTGATTGTGAATTGTTCCTTTTTTATCCTACAGAAAACATAGCGCTCTTGGCAGAAACAGCTCTGAGATTCCTGGAATTAGTGCAGTTAAAGAATCTGAATATGGAAAATGACCCAAATAGTGAAGAAATAGATGAGGTTACCCATCCTAATGGAAATTATGACACAGGTAATATGATTTCCACCCCCCTCCAGATTTCCTGTTTTTTAGCACGAGTTGTTAAGACTAATTTGTAGAAGCAGTCATTTGTAATTTGCATGTAAAATAAAGGAAAATCTCAAGTGTACGAGTCCCCTTGTGACCCCTTGATAAAATTATAATTCCAAAATAAGGAATTTTTCCCCCCAAAGCTATGTTTAAAAATTTTTTTCTGCCAAACAACCTTGTCACCTTCAAAGTACTCTTCATTATACTTAATACGTTTGTCAAGTCTGTGACTCTATTACTGTGTACATTTCTCAAATTCATTTGTTTGGATGACTGACAGTACTTCCCTAATTTTTTTCTTTCATCTCCTCTAAGTTGTCAAATTGCTACCCTTTCACGCCCCCTTTCATTCTTGGAAACAAAAAAGAAGTTGCACAGAGTGAGGTCAGGTGGGTGGGGCAAGGGAGACATGCTGGGCTTTTTTGCCAAAAATGGCACCTTGAGATGGCTGCATGAGCAGGTGCATTGTTGTGGTGGCAAAACCAGTAGCCCGTGTGCCACAAACCAGGCCTTTTTTTCTTGCACACTGTTAGGCAATCTTACCAGAACCTCTAAATAGAAAGCCTGACTAACAGTCTGGCCTGGTGGAATGAACTGTCCCCTCACTACACTTGATCTTAGCCAAAAGGCCGAGAAGTGATGAACTGTCCCCTCACATCACAAAAGCTAATGAGCGTTGTCTTGATCTCTGATTTCACTTGATGAGTTTTTTCTTCTTCTTTTTTTGAGTAAGCGATGATGGTGTCTCCCACTGGCTTCATTGATGTTTGCTTTCAGGATCATCAGAACAGCACCATGGAAAAAAGTCTGGGTTGCTTCAGAGCTGTTCTTTCAAAGCACAGCATGTTTCTACCTGAGGCTCTTTTTCTGGGTCAGTCAGAACCCGAGGCACGAATTACTCAGCGACCCTCCTCATTCCCAAATCTTCCGTTAAAATTTGCTGAACCGAGCTCAGACATAGTCCAGATAACTTCCCCATCTCTTCAATTGGTCCGTCCTTGGTCTTTGAGCACAAAACAAGTGCATGGATTTTGTCCATTAGGGAAGTTGACGGACGTCCATAATGAGGTTTGTCATCAATTGACATTTCACCTTTTTTTATTAAAGATCATCTTTTTTGCGGCTCTGACAGCTCTTATAACAATCCATACAACAGTTGTATCAAGCATGTTTGTACATATGTTGCCATCATAATTTTCTAAACATTTACTTTCTGTTTGAGCCCTTGGTGTCAGCTAATCTTTTTTCCCCTCCCCCACTTCACCTACCTTCGTGACCCCTTGATAGAATTATAAATTATTATAATATTCATATCTTACGTTGACTGCTATCTCCCTTCACCCACATCTCTGATGTTCTCCCTCCTGGGTGGGGCTGTTAATGTGTCAATCATTGCAATCTGTTCCCCCAACCTTCCCTCCTCCCCACCACCTTCCCCCTACCCTCCTTGTATCGCTACTCCCATTTCTGTGCCTGAGGGGTTTATCTGATCTGGATTTTGTGTGTAGTGAGCTTTTATCTGTACCAGTGTACATGCTCCAGTCTAGCCAGAACTGAAAGGCAGGACTGGGTGACATTTCATCTTTTTTGAAGTAAGGAAACTACTTGTACACTTGAGATTTTCCCATAGCACTGCCCTAATAAACTGTATTCAACATCACAACAGTTTCTGCGGCATTTTTCCCAAACAGGAAACAAAATTTCACAACCGTATGCTGTTCTCTTAAATCACCCATTACAAAAACTGAGGTTTGAGCAGAACTACTTTTATGAGAAAATTCACTGTGACTAGAGGGAACCTTCGCAGGAGATGCCACTGGGTGCGCTAACTCAGAGTCAGTTGCTTGCTGCTCGCCTAGTGGAAAAATATCTCTGAAAGCTCTGCCAGCGGAGCTTTTTTCTGTTTTTTTTTTTTTTTTGGTAGCCCCTCCCAGATGCGTTATGCGTGTATGTCTCTAGTTTAGAAAGTGAAAGAAATCTAGTTTTTAGATTTGTGTGCCTCTGACAGCTCTAATCAGTCTATTACTTGTTAGACTAGCACTGTTTCAAGATAGCATATTCCTAGATCTGAATATAATAAATTATTTTGACTTTATAGGAGGAAGGACTTACCAAGAAGGCTGTTTTTCTTTGAATGTGTGGGACCCAGGTCAACTCCCAGCTGTCACTGGTAGTTTACATGTTGCTGTGATGTTGAACTGGTTTCAGCAGAATTTCTAGACTAAGATGGGGCTTCTGTTGTCAGGTTATATCCTGCACCTGATCCAGTACTTTGGAATCTTTGATTAGGTTATCTCCTTGGGACAATATGATCTCTTTTTGGTACTTCTCCATAATTTTCTCCTTGAGCCTCATAAATGGAGCCTTTTAATTAGTGAGAGAATAACCATGCTTGGGGTACCTGTTTATTAGGCTCCTCTTCAGTTTAGATTTTAATTCCCCATATGTCCTTTAGAGCTTTGGGGAGTAGAAAAGCTTACAGGTTTTAGACTTTCTGTGGTAGCTTCTGTTGTCATTCTGTTCCTCTGAGGTGTAAGAAAGAAGGGAGGCCTGCAGGTATGGTGAAAGTAATTATCCTATCATTCTTTTTCAGAGCTCCAAGCCCTACATGAAATGGTCCAGCAGAAAGTTGTCACTCTGCTAAGTGATCCTGAAAACATCGTGAAACAAACCCTGATGGAAAATGGAATAACACGGCTTTGTGTGTTCTTTGGGCGCCAGAAAGCAAATGACGTGTTACTGTCTCACATGATCACATTCCTCAATGATAAGAATGATTGGCACTTGCGTGGAGCTTTTTTTGATAGCATAGTTGGTATGTGGTGGTTTTTTTTTTTATGTTTTTACTCTTGGAAATAATTCATGTGATTTTCTGGATATGTGTCAATACCGTCAAATTTCATTAGTAATGGAATTATTTCTAATACGAGGAATCATTCCTACTATTTAAGATTAATTCCTAGTATTTGTGCCTTTCTTCAAGCTGCTTTTGGATGAAAAAAGTCTTTTAGCTGATAAAGGAATTAATTAATTAGATCTGTTTTAATGAATACCGTATAGTCACTAAAAGCTTTGTTTTAAAGGAATATTTGAGGATGTGGGAAAATATGATGAAATCAAGTTAATGTATCTGAAGTAGGCTACAATCTACTTACAGTATCCCAGTTGTCTTAATATAACAACAAAAATTATACATATTTGGACAAGACCTGACCATACAGAACTGTTTATAGTAGTAAACTTTGGGGCTTGGATGATAGGAGATTGTTTTCTTTTTCTTTTGCATACTTGTCTAGTTTTCTACAGTTAGCTTGCATCACTTTTAGAATCAGACAGTAACAGTTAAAATGTAATTAGAGTTGAAAATCCGCATGGAACTTTCATAGCGTAGAACTAGCCCCCGTATTATAGAGGTTTATTAGGAAGCTAAGAGGTTACAGAAGGCAAGGGCACAGTTCTTTTTGTCAACAGCACCTTGTCAGTCATGCTGGCAGTCTTATCTCTCTGGTCTTTGGTCTCTCAGCCACACAGTCTCTTG